GTGCAGTAATAAGGTTGAACAAGAGGACAGAGCTTTCAGGATTATGTCTAGTTGGCAATTATGTGTATTGCAATGGTAATTATTTATTTACATGATAATTTCCGATAAAACGGATTTGGTGGTACAATAAAAGCAGGTACTGTATATATAGTAAGTGTTACAAGAAATATTAATACTTCGACAATAGATATTTTTTTAGAGATGATTTAAAGGAAGGGAGCGTAGTCTTTGCTCGGATGGGTGGGGGTAAGTTGTTCCATACCTTCACACCATGATATTTTATGGAGGTCTGGGACTGAGAGGAGCGCATGGGGGGTGGTCTTAGTAGCTCTGGGTGCCTTAAGTTGTATCTCTGATTATTCCGGAACTGGAAGTAATTATTGTCAAGCAAGTGATTTATAGATTTGTAAACAAAGAGGGCACAGCAGTAAGTGTTAATATCTTCGAATTTTAAAAATTTCATTATAGCAATTTAATTATTCGTGTTTGATGATTGTAACGGATCAGTGAAAAGACTGATTTTAAATATAACTCCAACATTTGCAATTGAATATAGGTTATAAATAGAGGAGGGAGAAGAAATGAGCTGGGTGAGTGAGCACACCAGTCTTAGCACACATCATAGTGTTGCGTCAAGGAAGGGTCACCCCCCGCCCCCCAACCTCCACTTCCCCTTCCCTATAAATTCACAAAATATTATCCACCAACAACATCAAGGCAGAAATATTCAAATTAAGCATTATAAATAATTAACATGCTGCATGCATGTACTCATTTGTTGCAGTTAATAAAAGGGTTAACTGGGGAAGCTCAAGAAGAAACTGGGACACATTACTGTAGTTTCAATGTGTGAGTCCTGAACCGCCGGCAACATATGGCGCAACACTGAAACTGAATGCGGTGTGCGGGAGTGAGGGAGCAGGAGAAGGAACAGTCAGGAAGGTATGTGTTGATAAGTTACGTAACCACACTGCTTGGAATGGCGACTGACGCAAGAAACAAAGGAATTGGGAACATCAGTTACTGTCGTATGAACTGAGCAATAATCAAAAGATCAAATGGAAAGCCTGTAGGTAAATATGCAGGTTATATTATAATAATTCAGAACAGACGGTGAAGGGAAAAAAATCGAGTAATTGTCCATAGCATGAGAAAGATAAACCTATGTACTTTTTAACATTTACAAACGCACTTAATTTTTTTTTACCGTCCGGTAATTCGAACTGTGTAATTTAATACACATAAATTATTCAATATAATTTGTACCCGACAAAGAAACGAAGTCGTGTGGTAAGTGATGACGTGCTTTAGGATACATGGCCTATTTAAGGAAGTGGCGTCCTTAAGAGGCGGCCAGTTACACGATGATTTATTGTTATATAACGACAACCTCACTGTCTCTAGATTCTTTGTGGATGAGAAAATTTGGTGGTAATATAGGTGAGTTGTGTTAAGACGCACATGTGTTATTGCATTGTGTAACTCATGCCGCCTTTCACTCTCAGATAATGTTGGTTTAGTGTACTGTACATTACGTTTTATCTCTATAATTACGTACGTTGCTGCTACGTGCGCACTTATCTCTGTCAGATTATATTTTTATGTCAGCGAATTTTTATTTAGATACTTCATGTAGATCCACAATGGAAACGTAGTGAAGATAAATCTTGATAAAACCACACAGGAAAAGAGAAACACTGGAGCACCATTGTTTCCCTTTTCCTGTGTGGTTTTATCAAGATTTGGGTACTGATGGAAAATTATGGAATTAACGTCAATAAAATAGGATAGTGTATTATGTTGACTTAGTTGAAATAGACTTGTAAGATGATTATTACTTAGCTAAAGACACAAGAAGATATTCAGCTATTGTGCCGTGTTACGATATACATACAGTATACTGTACATTGAAGGAATGAGACTGGAATGTGCTAAAACATGTCTGTAGTACCAACATGGGAAAAATTTGCTAAAACTACTGTATGACAATGAGAGGCTGGAGGACAGCACCAACTCGTATTGGGGACACAACCGCGCCACACTTACACTTCGAGCATTTACAGAAAATGGAAGATGATCGTTGCAACATATTGTTGGGAACTTGGCTGTGCCTGGAGAAAACATGCTCTCTTTAGTAGTTACAATAGACAACTCCCTCCTCACATCCGATACGGAACCAAAACCGGGCCACAGAGGTGACATTCATTTCCAATTAAATATAATTATAAGAAAATTTTCTTGGACTGTTTAATTGTATTATAAATAACTAATATTACATGGTAACTATCATCGTGGTGATGATTAATATTTGCAGAAAAAGCTACCCATTTTTTGTTCCTATTTGGTGTCGCGATCACTGTTAAACTTCAGATGTGGCCTTAGCTTAGACCTTAAGCTTTAATTGTGAAGTAAAAATGCAATATAGATACAGTATAGTTCTTAGGCTATATTTGTTTGTATGTCTATAACCTTAACGTCAACTCTGTTAATGATGTGAGCCTAAAATGGTTAAGTTCTATGTTTTTACATATGCTTAGCTGAACAAGGACCAGTTTTTCTTTTAACTAGAGAATAATGTATTACTTAATATCTAGTTTCAAACACCTACACGCCAAGTTGGAGACTCACAATCCGATGGCATCATTGACTACAGAAAATATGCTCCTCGTGAAAAATATTGAAAGGTATTTAAGAACTGAATATTATGTTTTCTCGTTACAGGGTATTTAGAAAAAAATAAAAATATTTTGCAGTGTTATGAATTCGCATTTTGGGCAATTTGCAACGTCGGGTAAGTTTAGATATGAACGCATCTCTCTACCTCATTGAGAATGCCTCGAAAACCATCAAACTAGTGCCAGCATTCAGACACCTCACTTGCCAAAACAGATTAGAACGTATTCAATTGCCTAGTCCTACTATATACTGTACTATCAGAGGACAAAGGGTGATTTAAGAGAATATTTTAACCACCTCAAAGGGAAATAGTGTACATACCTCTGGAAAAAGCCTTAAGTTAAAGAAGCTATCATAACAGAAAACTGCCAAAGCTAACTTCTTTGGAGTGAGAGTTGTGATCTCTCGGATTAACCTCCCAGAAAATGTTGTGACAGCACCAAGTGTGAGCTCATTAAGAACAGATTTGACTAACACCAATACATGTTTAGGTATATACGAGTTCGTACAATCCCCAGTATTTGACGATCGTGTGTTGATTGAGAACATCCCAATGTGGGCCATCAAATAGGTGCCTGCATTCCAGCACCTCCCTTACCAAGAGATTATTACGCCTTCACTTGCCTGGCTTATATACTATAGACGGACAACGGGTGATTTAATAGAGATTTATAAAAACAAAACAAAACAAAGGTAATTACTCAGCCAAGTGTTTGAAGGGCAGATCCAGGAAGTTGTGGGTGACATGGCGAACACAGCGAGCCCACCCAGCTAGGGGAGGGGGGAGGGCACTTTTAGCGCCCCCACCCTATAATTTTTTTTTACCAATATCATAGGCATTTTGAGGTCATGTGCACTTAATATTAGGTCCTAATATCAAGAGCACAGACCTGAGGTCAATATTAATTATTTTTTACTATACAAAAACGCCTCAGTAAAATATTGCAATTAAGATAAATTATTGGGATTTTCTAATGAAAAGGGGAGTACGTACCCCAGGAACCCCTGGATCCGTCTCTGTGTTTATGTAGGAAGCTAGCGGATTCCCACCCCACAAGAGGTCAAAACATCAATTTATAAAAGCCACAAAAATTGTAAGACCACACTTTTTTGGCGTAACAATTGTGTGCTCTTCGAATATCCTACCGGAGGATGTTGTGACAGTTCGTGTGACCAACACCTGCACATATTTTCAGATGCATTCTAGAGCTAATACATGCTCACTACTGTACTTTCCAACAGTGCATAATAAAAAAATGACTGACCGCGACCAGCTAATACGGATAAATAAATATCATACACACACACACACAAGGATAACCTAAACTTCCGTGAATGAGCTGAAAAAATATATGCTATAATCTGATAGAGATGAAGTATGTCTGTCTTTCAAGGAGGGAATCTGATATGCGTTATCCTTCCTTCAAGTGGCCCTTCACATCTCGTGAAGTTTCTCTGGAATATAAAAATAATCAGGAACTCAAAGTATTTAAACGTTACTTTATCACCACCATCTGGATTTTATCGCCACCCAATCGATTCAGTGAGTCACCTGAGATTATTCTCTTCCCCCGTCGTAGTACTGACGTCCAGCCTAGGATGTTAGGAAAATAATTTTCATTGCCAGTGTAGCTATTTTATTTAGTCAGGAAAACATATTTGGTGAAATACACCAGGTTATCACATATAATATTTTTCTAGAAGGATATAGGGAACAAGTCAATGATGGGACACTATAGGTGTTTCAGAGAACAATAACCAGGAAAATAACGGTACAAATATAGCGTGCGGTCTATAAGATATTTAGGTTAAGTTAGGTTAGGTCAGATTATACAATACAGTAGATATACACCGCACGCTATAGTAGCATCATAATAACATTCGCTATAGGCAAAAACTAAAATTAAAAATTATTTTTAAAACTACATGTTCACTATTGATTATTCCAATCACTTTAGATACATCATTGATGCAGACAAAATTGTTGTTTTCATTTCTTTATGTATACTAAGGTTGTAGAGTGTAGACCTTGGTGTTTACTAGACAAATAACAGGAAAATGTATCAGGAAAACTGTTGCATAAGAAAACGCCTTCGCCTCTGCTGTAGATAACGATAACATACAAGTAATAACAAGGTTATATAAGTTTCTATTTTACAATATGTTTTTTGGTATTTTTCAATAAACTTCATCCTGTTATAAAAATATTTTGAGAAATTTTGTCGTATTTAGTTTCTTAGTCCCTATTACATAAAACGAGTCTCCCTCGAATCCTCCCATCGACCAGTGAAAATTCCTGTTATTGGTAGAATGTACCAGAAAGGCCGAAGGTGAACCAATCAGAGCAGAGAAATTTGAAAGATACATATGTTGTGATTGGCTGCACCAAAGAGAAAGAACCAATGATAAACTTGCATCCATCGCAAGTGGGAAATATAAAAACATCAACATACCGTAGAGTGGCGACATGCATGAACAAATGTGAAAATAACATGCAACAGGTTAACAAGAATGAACAAAAAGAACGAGATTGGAGGTTCAATTGAGGTAGTGTATGGCAGAGTCGTGTTTTGGCTCGCAATTTTACAGTATAGATTGGTCGTGAAGGTAATGAAGGTTCTGTAAACCTTCTGAACTAGTAGTAAGGTAGTAAAATTATTTGGTAAATTTGCAAAAGTGGGCCCAACTCAACTTCTTAATCAAAACACTGGTATTTTACCATATTAACACCCAAATCACGCACAGTAATACTAATGGCCCAACCACCTACCTTATGAGTTGGGTGTTAATCAGGAAATTTACCAAAATGTTTTTCGCATAGTTCAGACTATTTTATGACACTTCTATGGGATGTCCTTCGAAAATGTATTTGATTATTTTTGACAACTCTCTTGTTCTTTTTAATCTGGAGAATTGTTTTATACCTTTGATCAGTTGATTTAATGCTATGTTTTAGACTGGGTCATGGGTAATTAAATCGTGGTTTGTTTTCTTTAGGGTTTAACTAAAAGTAAATCTAGTGTTGGAGCCAAGGAAAAATTTCATTTGTATTTGCCTAAGGAATTGCAAGTACAGTACTGTGGCCTCTGCTTTTAGGGCTTGAGCAATTTGGCAAAGCAGTTGCAGAATTTTAGACTTGATAGGAATGGACCACTGAGTGATATACATTCATGATGAGGTTTGTTAGTGTTTAACATGTACATTACTGCTCACGACAAAAATCAGTAGCAATACTCTGGAGTACTAGTAACTATATGGGAAAAAAGGGTAAAATTTTAGTTTCGGTCATCCCTGTATTAAGATATCCAAACTAACCTAATGTAACCCAGATTATTATATCAGAACTCACTGATGAAAATATAGTAAGAATATAAACATCAAAACAAATAACGCATCAGTTGTCAAGTTCCCCGGTTTAGCCACAACTCCTTCTGATGGTAGTTGTGTTCTCATAATTACCTTTTTTCAGTATTATTTTAGTTTCGGTCGTTTGGGGAATCTTAGGGCCCGCTCTTCCTCCAGGTTAGGTTAGATATACATTAAGTTTGTTAGGATAGGTTGGGTTACGGTTAATATATATGACTAACCCACGGACGAGTTATTTTTATTACTGTTTATTTTCTTACATTATTTTTATCAGTGAGTTCTGATATGATAATCATTTATTGTGGAAATTGCTAATTTCATAGATAATTAGGCGCATAGGCGCGCACTAATTTGTCTTGCGGTTGGTAATGAGGCCATGCTCTGCTGAGGGGCTTCCCGCACCCGAGGCAGTTTGTTTTTCAGCATGTCGTGTGAAGGTTGTCGCTGATCTTACATGGACGTAATTTGTGAATTTTGGGGTAAAGACAACGAGACCCTTCAATTGTTTAAAGATCACAGCATTGTTCCTTTACATAGAGACTGTTTATTTTCTTACATTATTTTCATCAGTGAGTTCTGATATGATAATCATTTATTGTGGAACCCGCCAACACAGTAAATCACTCCGCCGCCCAGGGTGCACAGTACCGATGCGAACGTATCATCTTATGTCCAGAAAATTCCTCAAATCTCACCTTATCATATTAAGTTCTTTCTGTTTAATATAGCGGGGGATCCCGGGGGGGGGCTCGGCAAGGAAGTTTTTTATACCCACAAATGTTAAGTAACATTTATTTTTAAAATATCCATTTTTTAACATATTTCCACAAAGTACAACAGTGTTTTCATAATTGTTTTCAATCAATTTCGCTTGCTGGTTAGTCCTATATAATTATCATAATTTTTATGGAAATTTCTTCATTTGGTAGATAATCAGGTGACTAGGTGCGTACTACTTTGTCTTTCTTGGCATGATGTGGCGGTACACATCCAGTCATCTCCAATCGACGCCAGTGACCAGTGTATTTTTATGAGCCACATGGGTCGAGGTGCTGAACTCGTATCCACAAAATCCTAAAATTACATCATATAATAGTAAGTTCTTTCTGTTTAATATGCTGGGGGATCTGGAGGGTTGAGTTTCACAGCTAGGAAGGAAGTTAGGTAAGGTTAGGTAGATTTCTTTGGTTAGGTTGGTGTGGTCTTCCAACAATGCTTCTGATGCTTGTTATTCTTATCAACTAAGGTAGGTTTTGATTTAATTTAGAAATAACCAATTTTTAAAACATTTTCCATAACTAAGATTGTCCACTATAAAACAGTGAAATTACGGTATTTTGAAAATTGTTTTCTATGAAAAATCAGCGACTGTGAAGTCATAAATAATTACCGGAGTTGTTCGATTGTTATTATTTTAGTTTCGGTCATCCGGGGAGTCTTAGGGGGGTCTGGGGGAGCAAAGCCCGTCGTTAGGTTAGATGTAGGTTAGGTTAGGTTACATTAAGTTAGGTTGGTTAGGTGAGATTAATTTGGATATCTAAATATAGGGATGACCGAAAGGATAATTTTACCATTCGATTTTACTAATTTTTTTCATATGTTCTTATCACTATAGTTTTGTAAGTATTTTAGGTAATGTCTGAGAACTGCACTACCACCAGAAGGAGCTGTTCGATTTTGTTCATGTTTTCCACATACTATATGTTCTTATCATTATAGTAAGCATTTTAAAAGAGGCAAAATTTACTTAGTAAAAGTGACTGACAGCCCAAGTGGCTGACAAGCCGATCATTGGCAGAGATGGTAAAAGTAAAAAGTAATACCGTAGTAATAGAACCTGACCTAATGAACCAAAGAATCATACTTAACCTTACCTAACATCCTAGCCGGGGGGGCTGTGGATGTGAGAGTATGCTCGGACCAAATGGGTCGGTTGTAAGCAAACAGAGCAGATGACAACACGAAGTGACACGGCGGATTTTTCGGAGGAGTATTTATGGTAAATAAATAATTTCTTCACGTACAAAGTACATTGAGACATCATTTTAGTGTCATGTGATCCATTTTTCACCGTGTTTTACACCACGATTTCCCTTATCTTTCATGCCCTGCCTTCTACAAAGTTGTCGCCTCTTTTAAAATACTTCCTATAACGATAAGAACATCTTATGGAAAAACTGAACAAAACTGAACAACTCCTTCTGGTGTTAGTGGTTTCCTCATAAATTACTGAAAAAAATTGAAGAAGAAAACTTCTTGCCTCTAAAATATATAAAAGGGCGGAGGAATTGCAACTTTTGTACTTTGTTTTCCCCAAGTTTTTGTGGATTAAATATGGTCTGTATATACAAGAACTCACAGTTTTTGTCTGTTGACAGATGCTTCCTAACAACCCACCGAACACTCCCCAGTTACCTCTTCAAATATTACCTAAACTAATACTGTGCAGTACTTAACCTAGAACAAATCATATGCAGTAATGTATACAAGTTAATATGGCATTGCTGGAAGCTGACGCATTGATATAGATTCATGTTCAGGATGAAAATATGAAGAAAATTGTTGCAATTATTTCCATTTTGGCAGGGGGTATTTTAAAGGTAAGAAAGAAGTTTGCTTATAAAAACACTATCCTAAAGTTGTTGGTTATCATGAGTTGGTATTCCAGAATATTACATGACTTGACAGAAAAATAAAAAAGTAAATATAGTACAGTAAGTCCTTGCTAAACGTTGTGGTTCCGTTCCTGAAAATCGCAACGTTAATGGAAAGACTGGTAATGGAATTAATTTTCCCCTTAAGAAATAGATAAAATACGGGAGTTACGTTCCTGAGTCTCCCTTTGCCCATGAAATACATTACATATACAGAAATTCAATGGAATTTTTATGGAGAATAGTATACTGTATATATAAATAAACTAAATCATTTTGTATTGTACTCACTGATGGACAGAGGTGGTGGAGTGAGTGTGTGGTGGGTAGTGGAGTGGAGGAGGGTGGCGAGTCACTGAGACCTGGTGGGTGGCTCCTCCTCCCGGTTTAAAACCTCCATTTTATTATGTTGCTTCTTTACAACACAGGCATCGGTAGCATTTGATGGGTGCTTGGAAGCCATTTTGAATTGTTAGAGTACAGTCGGCCCTTAACATACGCGGGTTTAACTTACACGGATTTGCAAATACGCGGATTGCCGCTGGAGGAATATTCATTCAAAGGAATATACATTATTCAAATCGCGAGCCACACACACACACACACACACACACACACACACACACACACACACACACACACACACATCGCCCGCGCCACCCCGAGTTCCCGCGCTCCCTCAGTCAGTCAGTCTCGCTGTAACCACGCTTGTGTTGACATCAGCATTGTAGTTGCAAAAATATTACATTTCTGTGAATGTATAATATCAAGCACAGTATGAATAGAATATCACTAATATAAGAGTATTTTAACCGAAAACTATTAAAAAAAACGAGTAACATATCTTGAACATCGGAAGGTTATGTAAAGTCTTTTGTTTTCATGTAGTTTATCCTAATTTACATTGAAATACATTACGTTTCAGCAAAACCACTATTTATTTCTGAGAATATGGAAATGTAATATTTTTGCTGAAATGACTTACGTATTACAGTGGAAAGTGACGAAAGCAATGACTTTCGCATTCTTTCGTTCAAAAGATGTTACCATAATCGCTTTTCGAATGGTTTTCAGTTAAAAACTGTTGTACTGTATTACAATAATATTCTATCCTAATTCACTTGTGATGCAACAGTTTTTGAACTGAAAACCATTCGAAAAGCGATTACGGTAACATCTTTTGAACGAAAGAAAGCGAAAGTCATTGTTTTCGTCACGATTTTATCCCACTTTCCACTGTAATACGTATGTCATTTCAGCAAAAAATATTACATTTCCGTGAATGTATTATATCAAGCACAGTATGAATAGAATATCATTGTAATATAATAGTATTTTAACCGAAAACTATTAAAAAAAACGAGTAACATCTCTTGAACATCGGAAGGTTAGGTAAAGTCTTTTGTTTTCGTTATGTAATATATCCTATTTTACATTGAAATACATTACGTTTCAGCAAAACTACTATTTATTTCGGAGAATATATTCATTCAGGCGCAGTTTAGGTAAAATATACATGTGATGTAACAGTTTTTTAACTGAAAACGAATCGAAAAACACGTACCCTCTAGCCCTGTTCAAGGAGAGGACTGGGAGGAGCTGTTTGGTGCTGAAGACGATGACAAGGAAAATGATTTTGATGGATTTTAATGAAAATATTCAGAAATATGGTATCGTAGTACAGTATTTATTCAAGTGAATTAGGACAGAATATTATTGTATTACAACAGTATTTTAACTGAAAACCATTCAAAAAGCGATTAAGGTAAAATATTTTGAACAACGAAAGAAAGCGAAAGTCACTGTAATACGTACGTCATTTCAGCAAAAATATTACATTTCCATATTTATTTCTGAAAATATATTCACTCAGTCACAGTTAAGGTAAAATATACTTGTGATGTAATATTTTAATGAAAATACCCGGTATTTAGAAATACGGTATCGTAGTTTTCTTTTGTTTCAAATTTAATTAACAAAGATTGATGTTTCAAATGTAATGAACAAAAATTTATGTATCTATAAATAAACTTTAAAAAATGAATACTTTATGTTTTACATCGTCCTGTGCTACCATACCATGCAATTGGCTACTTTGGGCTTGCTATGATGACGCAAGAGATCTGCCCTGGCAACTGTACCGACACTCACAGCTGGTGGTGCATCGTTTCCATTGTTTACTGGTAGTTACTGGTAAATATTTTTCAACCTAACGAAACTATTACCCGTTTAGAGGTTGACCCCCAATTTTTTGCCAAAAAATGGTCTTAAAAACTCGAACTACACACAGGTATATATGGTAAATAAGGACATGGGGGGGGCCAGGGGTGTTTTTAGGGGGGGGGGGAGCAAAAATACGCGGATTCTTAACTTTCACGGGTATCTCTGTTACCTAACCCGCGCGTATGTTAAGGGCCGACTGTACAGTATTAAGAGCAAAAACACTTAAACACGCATGAACACTGTGGAAACCTAACAAAGACTGAGGAAAAGAATTCAAAAAATGTTCCCACTTTGTCTGGGTCTACATATACAGGTACTGTATAACTGCATTCTTCAAGCATCAGATCCGATACATCCACATGTCTTAAATTCAGATTTTGTAAAATGATAGAAAGGTGGTTGCAGTCTGCCTCTGGAACTCTTTTCTCTCTTCTACACTCTGACTTAATTTGATTTCTGTACCTAGCATACATCAACTCTTAGGCCCCGGGTGACGTTCGGGAACTTCCGCCTAATTTCCCGCCATTTTTTTTTTTTTTTTTTAATTTGGAAAAGTTGTTTTTTTCTCGATTTATCCCCGTGTGGGGGGGGGGGGTACTGCCAGCAGCACCCTAACCCTGGGCTTAAGGGTTAAAAGTCCTGTTCTTCAATAATTAATAAGTCTTGAAATTGAGGTTTCTTCTTAGCTTTTGCAATTGCCATTTGGTTCATGTCTTGGGTATACAGTAAGGTTCTGCTTAACAAATAACCAATTACAGGTACTGTAATGAGAATTCAATTTAGTGACATTGTGTTTTAGGGTATGAAAATTAAGTGAACAAATTTATATTCAATTTAACAAACAAAATTGTGAGTGAAAGACTGTTCATATATCTGCCTGGACCCTCAACACACTAGTTGTCATGTATTTTCCTTTTAATTTACACTTGGTCCTTTTATTATTTTTTTTCACTTAAACCACAAACAGCACTTTAAATTATATTTTAATACCATTTCTTCCTTATGATATCATAGAGGAAATATAACCAGATATGGTGGCCGGGGATGGGGGATGAATGTTATCATTTAGTGATACACACGTTTATGATCGTCATGTTCTCTACAGGTCATGGAGTTGTGTACAGTACTATAGTACAGCTCCTCCCCGACTTACGACGGGGTTAGGAACCCAAATCCAGGTCGTAAGTCGAAAATGCTTAAATAATACAGAGAAAATCTAAAATGGGTGTCTCTTTTTCTTCTCACCACCACAAAACTCACTTTTAAGCTTGCCAGCCATTTTAAAGTGAATTACAAATGAAAATTTTGTCAGTACACAGTGCAATCACTGATGTTGGGATTCGAAAATACGTAATTTGACAAAATTTTGGTACGACTGAGGTGGTCGTATGTCCGGGTGGCCGTCGAGTTGGTTGTAAGTCGGGGAGGAGCTACTTGAATACAGTATACTGTTACGATACAAAGTGAATTTTAACCCACCCCTCCCATAAATTCTTCAACCTGTTTAAAAAGGAAAATTACCTTAAAAGTTCAAACTTAATATTTATTTTCAAAAGTAACTAAAGCTGATGATGTAATTTTTTACAAACTACCCTGTACTTGTATACCCTGTATGTATACAACAAAAGAAATCAGAAAACTCAAGTAATAATAAATGGACATTAAATCCTATCCATCACACTATAATATATAATCACTAAATCCTAAACATTATAATATAAAAAAATAATAACTCTGGAGCAGTAAGAGTACACTAACACTCGATACTTATGGTTTAGGAGACAGGAGACCAGATGTTCACTTTACAGTCTATACTGTACTCAGTAACTGACTCTGGAGCACACCAGATTTTCCACCTCTTTACCAGGACCAATCACAGGGCTTCACATACTATGGTACTAAGACCAGCCAGTTATACCCCAGGCTGACTGATGGCCAGCACCATCTTGTGACCATAGTTGTCTCTACACAAACTGAGAAGTAGTTTATCATAATACTGTATCATGTTATTAAACCCACAACTATAAAAAAGACTGCAATGAAATGCATGTTAGAAGGATTGTGATGCATTAGCACAGATAAACATCATCATCAGTGGTTGATCTGATGTTTAAATTTTTGGTTACCTATTGTAGCTAGGTGTTGATAGTTTTAATCATTATTGGGTGTCAACCGTGTCTAATATGCACTATATTGTTAATTAGCTCTTTGTCACATGGTAAACTGTCTTATAATCAGAGGAGATATTTATTGTTTATAACATCTTAACCATTTTTTTTTTCAGGAATATGATGTAGGACAGCAAATTGGTAGGGGTGGTTTTGCCACTGTGTATTGTGCCAGGTGCCGCAACACAGACAGAGATGTGGCCATCAAGAAGGTGAAGTTTTTATTTTTTATAGCATTTGAAGATCACCTTATCATTGCAATTACAGTGAAACCTCTATAAAATGGACTCCACTCTCCATGCAACAATCCATTAGATGGAGGGTTTCACATTTAACGGGCCCTCGATATAACGGAATTTCCTCTCCATAATATAGTCGTCCGTTAAATAGAGATTTCACTGTAGCTACAGATGTAGAAGGATAAAGAGTGAATAAGATGTAGAATGTTTAAGAGTGATTCAAATATAGAAGGATATAGTAAATAATAAGAGAAAATGATTTAGAGGAGAAAATATGAAGAAAAAATTATACTATACGGTATAGATCAGAAACTCAGATGAAGAATGTTTATACAGTACTACTGTAGAGGAATGAATAATATAAAGTACTTAGAAGTAACAGTGTAGATTTGTAAACTACAGAAAGTAGGAATGAGAAAACTGCTATTGTGGAATAAAGTTGTTTATAAACGAGTCACTAAAAAATAAGAAATATATTACACCATGTACAGTATGTTTAAAAACGAGTCACTAAAAAATAAGAAATATATTACACCATGTATGTATTAATGTATCATATAACCTAAGGAATTATTAGAGATAACAGTACTGTACATTATTATTTTTTTTTTTACTGTAATGCGTCATTTCTTGTTGACAATCTCCTCTTGTTTTAACTAATGGATGATAGGTTTTTCAGATATAGGGAATTAAGTCTTTTTCAATCATTTAAGATATTGATGAATGTTACTACAAGATACTGATATACGTAGAAGACTTTTCATTTGTTTCTTTTTTTTTTTAGTACCCTATAGTAGATAAGTAGTCTATCAAACACGAGGTACTACCGCCTGGGAAGATATTGGAAGCATAATGTGTTGTCTAATGGTAGACCCTGCTGCCATATGGCATCACGAAAATTGTGACCAAGTCCCAGGTTGCTGAGCTGACTTTCTGCCCCATTTACACACAATTGCAGGGTCTCAATTGTTTCTCTTACTATTGACAACACAACATACATATATTGTTTCTCACTTTTGATTTTTATAATTTTTGTATTTATTATTATTATTGTTATTATTATTATTATTATTATTATTATTATTATTAATATTATTATTACTATTATTATTACAGTGTTATTATTACAGTATCATTATTATTTTATTATTTTATTTAAAAAAATTTATTTTCTATTATAGATTTTATTTACTCTATTATTATTATTATTATTATTATTATTATTATTATTATTATTATTATTATTATTATTATTATTATTATTATTATTATTGTTATTACGGCTCCGATGTGGGCCAGTGAATTTTGACCGGGTGAGCTAATCCCCTTAAAAAAATTAAATAAATAAATAAATATAATAATACAGGGTAATAATAATAATATAATTTCTCACTGGATCTTTTTTTCTTTTATTTTTTTATTTTTGTATATTCATGGTTCTATATTATTATTATTATTATTATTATTTTATTTTAATTTATTATAATTTTTATTGATGTTTATTATTATTATTATTATTATTATTATTATTTTTTTTTTTTTTGCCTCCAGGCCCTGATGTGGGTCATTGATCTGTGCCTGGGTGAGCTAATCCCCATTAAAAAAAAAATCAGGGTCATGGCAGTCAACAACGGATTTAGTTTGTGGATTAGGTTGCAGTTCATCTTAAAAAAAAAATAGGCAGTTATGTCTGGTGCCAAAAGCTTCATAAACATATACAGTTGGGTCTTCATTTACGCGGTCAATTGAACTTGTGGAGTACTGCGTAAAATGAGAAACGCGTAAATGAAATAACAGAACATATGGGATTAATTGAAATAGAGACTGGGCCGACCCCCACACTCCACTTTTTCTGACACAATACGTACGTTGTAGTAAAAATAGTATCTTAACTTTATGATGGTATGCACACACACACATAATATAGAAGAGAAATATCAATAAGAGAATACTATACTGTACCAGGTAAAAGAAAAATCAAGGTTTAACACTTACGTTAGGTTAGGTTAGAAAAAAAATCAAGGTTTAACACTTACGTAAGGTTAGAAAAAATCAAGGTTAGGTTAGGTTTAACACTTACGTTAGTAGAAGAGATTGGGTCGGCATATGTTGATGGAGGCTGGTTCTGAGGCAGAGGGCAGATTACTGGCCCTTAGGTGAATCACCCTCACTATCCACCATAGTTGTCAGGGCCTCCCTGACAAATCCCTCAAAGTCCATAGCGTCACTGGCATGGGCTGGCTGTGGTGGGTTGCGGGCGAAGAAGTCCGTGATGTTACGCTGATGGCTAGTCTTGATGTTGTCGTGATACACCTTGATGTACGGCTCCATAGTCTGCAACAGCTGGTTATTGAAGACTTCATAGCGGTGATCGTCAGGGTCGTTGGAAAGGATGAGCTTGAGTTTCTCTGCAAACTCGATGGCATCCTTAACATTACCATGCGTTAACTTGTGTTCTTGGGATGACTCACCACCTGCCTCTTCACTGACGTTATCGTCTTCTAACATAATGTCGTCGTTGGTGGTCTCGGAGAAGCCTGCAGCTGTAACACTGCGCAGCTTCTCTTGCAAGGTCCACTGCCACTGCAACAGACTGAACTTCACCAGTCACAGGTTGACTCTGCCTCCCACCTGGGATACCTTGCAACACATGCCGCCATGCGTGACGAATTGTTGCCACAGACAGCTGCTCCCATGCCTCCACCAAGAAATCAACAGCTTTCTTTACGTTAAATTTCTTCCAAAACTGTTTGACGCGAACTTCTTGATCCGCCTCTTGTTCCTCGTCGTTGCTCTGGCTATCGCTATCGGTGTCACCCAGGTTACACAACTCATCCTTGGTGTTGGTACAGTCGTTCAGGAGCTTAAACTTCTTTGTAGAGAATGCAGCCTTAACGTTGCATATCAACTCCTGGTCCATGGGCTGGATTAATGACGTAGTGTTGGAAGGAAGGAAGACCACTTTTACGTTGGGGTGACGATCCAACAGTAGGGGCAAGTGAACTGGTGCGTTGTCAAGGAGCAACAAAATGTTGAATGGAACATTCTGTTGCTCGCAGAATTTCTTGACGTCGGGAACGAAACAGTCGTCAAACCAGGAGAGGGACAGAGCAGTGAACATCCACGCCTTACGTGCGGTTAGCCAGTGGACATTTAGCTTGGTCATGTCCATGTTCTTGTAGGCGTGCGGCTTGCGGGCTGTGTGGATCACCGATAACTTGAGTTTACAGGTACCGGAGGCATTGGTGGTAAACAGGACGGTGATGCGCTCCTTCTGCAACTTCCGGCCCCGACACTTGCTGGCAGACTTGACAACGAAGGTCTTGGAAGGTAACTTTTTCCAAAACAGACCGGATTCATCCATGTTGAACACCTGGTCGTCGGTGTACTGTCCTTCCTCCATAACTTCTCGTAAGAATGGAGGAAAATCACTAGCCTCAACACGGTCAGCACTCGCTCCTTCACCACCAATGTTAATGTTGGTGATCTTGTTCCTCTTCTTAAACCCTTGCAGCCACCCAGAGGAAGCAGTGAAGGGTTTGGGCTCTGCAATTCCCATCTTACGTGCCACTGCTACGTACAGTTCACGTGCGTAGTCCTGAACTGACCGTGTGTCCACCGCCATGTTCCGTCTTGCCTGACGAATCAAGTAGCTCACAAGTAAATTCTCCGTCTTGAGCAGCACCTTGTTCTGGCAGTACTTCACCATTGAAGCACCTGCAGACTTTGTGATGTTCATGTGTTTTTTTTTATCTTGGCTGCATCCTTCTTGATCGTCCTGAGCGTCGATTCGTTCACGCCATGCTGGCGCGCCAAATCAACTTGTCTCGTTCCTTTTTCTAAATCTTGTACGATCTTGCACTTAACTTCGTAACTTAGGGAACGTCGTATCTTCTTTGGCTGGGGGCGGCTGGGTCCAGGTAATGCAAGGTTTTTCTGTGGTGGTGGAGGTCCATTGGAAGCCATTCCTACGAGATTAGTGGGCACAATAGAACACAGTTTACACGGAGTGACTGAGAGGAGAGCGACTGACGCAGCTAGGTCAGCTGCTTCTTCCTTCCCGTGGCAGGGCACGTCATATTACATTAAACCAATCACAGCTAGCGGGGGAGGGAGGTAAGGATGCGTGGCCCAATCACAGTCCGATACGTCATATGACGTCACCGATAACGCAACAGCGACATACTGCGCAACCTTACTCGCGCCGCTTGCCCAAGCATGGCGAGAGGTTTGAATCCAAAAATGGCGCGGCCGGACCGCCAGCTGCTCTCCGCATAAATGACCAAATTTATCGCGTAATTAAAGCATTTCAATTCTGGCAAGGCACCGCGTAAATGACCAAACGCGTAAACAAAAACCGCGTAAATCCAGACTCAACTGTATACAGTTTACAGGGTACATTGCACTAAGTGATATGTGTGGATCTTAACACTCTTGAGGGTTTCATACACAAATTTGTATATGAACTAAAAAAATTACAATAAAATATGATTTTGTTTGTTTGTAGATTGCCTCCAAGGTTATGTGAGTGACCACATAACAGCACAGGACATAACTTTGACCCACATTTCCCACCATTTTCTCACAGCTTCTGCTGATTTCTCATTCATCACAGTGATTTCACTTACTGATAACAGTGTTGTGATAGTTTTGAACCATGCCTCAGGTTACTGGTGAAGGTGGAGGGGTGGGAAAACATAAAAAGTGCAAGGAGACTGCACCACATTGTGATAGTGTGGTGCCTCCTGAGGCCTCTCCCAGTGTCCCTGACCCTTCTAGTGCAAGTGATAATTTGTCTGGCCCGTCAACAAACAGTGATCATCAGAATGCACAATGTACACCACTATTACCTCAAGAAATATTGATTTTTTCACAACTTTTCTTCTATCACTATTTTTTGGTAAACATGTACACTTTATAATGGAATAAGTTTATTATTGCAATCACATGAAATAACGAAGGTATAAAGTGATGTTTTTAAACATTTTCATTAAGTATTAACAAAAATTTATTCTACTCACACTTACGTATATAAATAATTTTATTTTTGTGATTACTCATATGAAACTGTTTTGCAACAAACCCCACCTTTTTATCTAAAAAAATGAGCTTGCTATGACTCATTACATACAATTATCTCTCGTTTGGTGCAGTCAAGTTTGGTGAGGTTAGTGACCAGCCAGACCCTGAGCGTCTCCTGGAGAGCACCTCCCTAAACCCAAGAGTGTTAAATTAAAATGGCCATCAAGAAAAACTATATTTGACTGAAACTTACCAGACAGTGGTTTACATTGATACCCCCTCCCTTTTATAACCTTCTAAGTTACATAATGGATTTATTTTTACATATTCAGATCAACAAGAGTGAGATCACTGCAGGTGGTCTTATCAACAGAGTACGCCAGGAAGTTACTATTCACTCCCGTCTTTGTCACCCATCGATACTCAGGCTTTATACATTCTTTGAAGATGAGCAGTTTGTTTATCTTGTATTAGAACTTTGTGTTAAAGGAGAACTGCAGAAGCATTTAAAAGATTTAAGAAGAGTTCTCACTGAGGATGAAGGTTTGTTAATTTTATTTAAGTTATTAAAAGATATGGATATTTAATTACTTTATATTTCTGTGCATGTATTAATGATTTCACATTTTTATCTTCATTAAGAGTAAGTACTTTTCATTTTCCAAATCACTTATTTTATGTATACGACTTATTTAAAGTGGTAGTAGCGTGTACATGATCCCCAAAACTGTATTGAAGCAGAAATTTGAAAGTTCTGTATTTACATGATTACTCGTGAATCGTTATTGTCCTCTTTTTCACAATTAGCACGGGAGTACTTGGGCCAGATTGTGGCAGGGATGCTGTACCTACACTCCCAGTCCATTATGCATCGTGATCTCACACTTTCAAATATCCTTCTTGATAATCATGGACGAATCAAAATCGCTGACTTTGGACTTGCTACACAGCTACGACGCCCTGATGACCGACACACCACAATGTGTGGCACACCAAATTACATCAGGTGAGGTCTTTGTAGGAATCTTTTACAGAAATTTAACTCCATAAGTTGCACACTAAAAGCTACATCGAGTCCTGAGTATTTAGTTGGTAATTTTAGAAGTCACAAGGTGGAACTTGTGGTATTCTTGCATAACTAACACAAAAGCCATTTTCTTTAAAATTTCATTTACTGATGGTGACTTTACAGTTCCAATGCTTCCACCAATCAGCAATGGATTGATCTTTAAACCTGAGAAACATCCTACAATTTAAATGGGAGTCAGCTTTTCATTGCTACAAGTTCATCTAAATCTCTAGTGATTTGGGTTAACAGTAGAAAAAAGAGAACTCCCCTCTACAGTCATAATATACAGTCCAAGAGTCAGACTCTCATACAAAGCCCATCCTGTAGCTCTTTCAGGTGTACTCCATAGAAAGATATAAGGTAGGTCCCTATATCCAACACATTATCAGTAGAGTTTCCTTTATTTCACACTGAAGAGATTTTCATTCACAGAGTGATCCTCAATCTTTAATGTACTGTATTTCATTTCAGTTATGAAGATAAAATTTAAAACTTGGCTCTTGAATTCTCTTTGACAATAAATTTACTGTACTTAGGTCTCTAATTGAACAGAAAATGTACCCAGCAAATCTTTCTTCTTTCAGTGAGTTGTTGTATACTGGTGTATTAGTGCTGATAGCGGATAGTATTTAAGAAGCAGTGGAGAAATGGAAGGAGTGAATGTGGCAAACACAAAAATTTTGATTAGTGGTATGGGTGAGGGACCCTTGGTGGAAAGTGAAAGCACCTTTTCTTCTTGTGAAAGGAAAGATGTATATAACCAGTATGAGAAATGTGATGTTGTATGGGAGTGAAACATGGGTATTTAAAGAGAATGATATACAATATGTAGGCTTGAGTGAGTTGAAATGTGGATGGTGAGATGGAGGTGATATTAAATACTCATAACTCAGTACAGTACTTGCTCATAATTATCTACAATTATTTTACAGCCCAGAAGTAGTAACTCGCAGCCCCCATGGCCTGGAGGCAGATGTGTGGGGTTTAGGATGCATGTTATTTATCATGCTCACTGGCCGTCCTCCATTTGATTCCAAAGGCGTGAAGGAAGTTATCTTTACCAACGTTGTCATGGGTGATTATAAGGTATGTAAAGCTAATTTGTATTGTTTCAGGATATTAGTACAGGTTGTCCTCATTTATGCCAGGGGATGCATTCCTAAAAATTATCCTATACAGTATGTGAATCTCTGATCACAAATTATTCCTAGGTAATATGCATACGCATATACAGGTATGGGATCATTTATCCAGCATGCTTGGGACCTTCAGGTTACCGGATAGGTTTTGTTTTTCTGAATTTGGAGTGCCAGGCCTAAAATGTACAATAAGCCCTCAATAATATAATTGACTGTGTTAACCCAATGTTCAGATCACTAGATTCACCCCTAAAATTAACTTTTAAGTGTACACTGTAACTTTAAAAACTTAAAACTGTAAGCATATAAATAGCAATAATGAAAGCATTAAAATAGTACAGTAATAATGAAAGCATAAAAGAGCAAAAATTAGTGTACACACTGTGTCGCAGTCTCCCCTGATACTTGCTTTAGCAACGGTGCTGCGTTGCAGACCCTCTGACTTCCCCACGGTGGAAACCCGTAGATATGTAAAACTTATGCCTTTTGATAATTATTTATTTTATTTCCTTTCGCTCTTTCTGTATGTAGGATTGTGTGTGCATGCAACTTGAAAAATAAAATTATGTGTCTCTACCCAAAATTATTAGTTGAAAAATAATTTATACCTTCTGATAATTATTATTATTTTTTCACTTTCTATATGTAAAATTGAGTGTGTATGTAACTGAATAAAGAAAATGAAGAAAATTACCGTACACATACAGTATCTCCCCAAAATTACAGTTGAAAAATAACCGTAACATAACATACAGCTCACAGGTAGGGAATGGTTAAAAGAATCCCCGCTCGGCCTGGGAATCACTTAGTGCTCATTTTAAACAGTTCCACATTAATCTCCCTGTTAGCCAGAATCCCTGGTCCCTGGAACTCTCCAATAACCAGAATTGATATTGATTCGGACAAATTCTGGGAAAACTGCATCCATTCTGGGCATGGGAAAGAGTTTCCCATGCCATTGTACAAGGTTGTTCCTTTGCAAGCTGCTGTTTTTTGCATAAAATTTGTATTGTGCAGTACTATGCATTACTGTACCAGAACACAATCAGCCAAGAATATAGTGTTAAAGCAGTGTTAAGATGCAAAAAGTGATTACAGTTACATATACAAGTACTGTACTGTACATTCAGTAAGTGTGAAAGTACTATATGTTCAGGAAAAGGGAAACACTGGAGATCTTAGCTTTTGTCTTTATTCAAGCCATCTAAAGGTCAGGTCAATAACATGAGACCCACTCATCCCCCACCCTACCTGCACTGCAAATGAGAGAAGAGCTTATATACAATAGGGGATCTGGCATTGCATCCATTTTAACACAATTTTAGCTTTAGCGGCAACAGCCCCTCCAGTAGTCCGTTATCCTGAGTGATATACATAGTACATACATAAATACAGAGGGTCCCCAGGTTACGAACGGGTTCCGTTCCTGAGGACGTTCTTAAGTCGGATTTGTACATAAATCGGAACACATGCTATGTACAGTAGCTAAAACAACTATCTGTGCATACTTTGAGGGAAACAATATGAAACCATGGACGATAAGTTTTGGTATATGAGGGCTGTCACTAGTCAAACGTAAAATTTTTTAGCATATCGACTCCCACCTGCACAGATACAGTCAACCCTCACTTTACACGGTTAATGTAACCCACAGGGTGCCGCGGAAAGTGAAGAACGCTTAAAGTGAATAACGTAACATATGGGATTAATTGAAATAGAGTCCGGGCCGACCCCCAAACTCCACTTTTTGACGACACACAACTATGTTGTAGTAAAAATTTTATCTTAACTTTATGATGGTATGCACACACAATTAATAATTAAGAGAAATATCAATAATATTAGGTTTTTTAACACTTACATTAGTAGAAAAGATGGCTGGGCACACGGGGATGGGCGGTTGGTTCCGAGGCAGAGGGCAGATTATTGGCCCTCACCTGTATCACTTGTATCAATTGTATCACTATCCACCACAGAGGCTTGCAGGGCCTCTTTGTCAAACCCCCCAAAGTTCATATAAGTCCATATCCTCACTATAATTATCACAATCACTGACTTGGGCCGGTTGTGGTGGGTGGCTGGTGAAGAACTGGTAATGTTTTGATGACTGGGCGACCTTGTGCGCACCATGTTCGCGCCGCTTACACAACATGGCGGATGGCGGGAGGTTTGGATAAAAAAATGGCGCGGCTCGCCAGCCGCTCTCCGCATAATGGGGTACACGCACCGCGGAATGTGAGCATGTTAGGTTCCGGCAGGGCACCACTTAAACGTGGAAACGCAGAATGTGGGACCGCGTAAAGTGAGGGTTGACTGTAGTTGTTTTAACTACTGTACAGACAGTACCATACTTACAGAATTTTTTTTAAATCCCACTATATCATAGCCAAAGTCCTTATATACATCTAAAATCACTTAATTTAAAAGAAAAAAAGGAATAGAATGACAAAATGCAGTAGTTGATGAAAGTAAAAACTTAAGTCATCAGGTAAATATAATACTGTAAATTTCAAGTTTAACCCCTATGAGTTTTGTTTGATGGGTTAAAATCATCATCCTTGTCTAGAATTCTACCATACGTGTGTGTCGGTTCACTAATACCAATGATTTGAACACCATCATATGCACTTAGTGAGGTAAGTCTCTTACTACAGTATTGGTGTTTTGTGGTGAGGTCACCCAGTTTCTTGTGTAGTGTTCAAGCCACTAATTAGGATGATGGGTTCAGTATGTATGAATTGATGATAGCAGTTAGTATGGAAGAGGTAGTGGAAAATTTTAAGTAATGGAAAGGTGGAATAGAGTCAATGGGGGTGAGAGTGAATGTGGCAAAAACAAAAGGAAGCTATTGTCTTTATTGAGAAACTTATATTTGCTCTAAAGGAAAGTTGTATGCAACTGGTGTGAGAAATGGGTTCTATATGGCATTGAAAAATGAGCAGTTAAAACAGATGACATAGCTATGTAGTTTTTAGCAAGCTGAAATTAGAATGGTGAGATTCATGTGTAATGTGACACTGAAAGCTAGAAAACCTTGTTCAGAGCTCGGAGGGCAGGTGGGTATTGGCAAGGCTTTGCATATAGGAACGCTGAGATGGTTTGGGCATGTGGAGAGAAAGGAAATCATTTAGTTCAAGAAATGTATAAGCTTGAAAGTGTAGGGGAGAAGAACCTGGGTTAGGTCGAGAATGACATGGGGACATATGAGATATGACCTCAGAAATTAGACCCTGATGAGAGAGACTGCAATAGCTCATGCAACATGGAGAGCTGCCAACAGGTAATCATAGCAAACCCATGCAATCATGGAGAATATATGAAATGGTGATACAATATTATGTTTTTTCGTGGAAGGCCTGGCTTCACTTACCGTAGGAGCTTAATTTACAACTGGAACATTATTAAAAAAAAAAAGTTTGAGGGTGCTTGTAAATTAAACTAGGGGCACCTGTGGGCCACTTAGCAATGCATCACTTTATTTTATGGAAACAAAATATAATGGTTCATTTTTTTTTACAGACTAATTTTAATTTTTGAGGGCTTTGAAGGTAATATCATGAATGTCTTTTATATCACGGCAAATATAACCGAGGAGCAATATATTTCCTTTGTCACATACCGTACCAGTTATCAAGTTACAGTAGGCTCTCGCCAATAACGACTTCCACAATAACGTTTTCGACAATAACGGTAAGTTACAATAGATACCCATTTTCGATAATAACGTCTGGATTCTCTTGAATAACGGAAATTTCGCGGGAAGCGTCTGAGCGCATCAATGATAGCATTTGTTTGCCGCCATGTTGATGACGTAGTTGTCCACTCCGCCTCACTCTCACTCTCACACACGCTCAGTGGAATACAGCGCTGCGCCCACGTGTGAGATTTTCGCCACTATAACCAGCGGTTGTTAGGGTCGGTGATCAATAATGGCTTCCGCATTTTAGCCTGTGGGGGCTAGGGGAGGTGGTGGAGGGAGTGATTTGCCACCTGAATGACTGGGAACTTTTAAAGTGAGGAAATTGAACTGTCCTGAGTCTACAGTGTGAAATATTAAGAGGAACTTAGAGGAGACCAAGAAGAGTATTTTGCTGGCTAAAAATATTTCGGTAGTGATGGAAATGCGAGGCGAGCTATGAATGATAAAGGCGATAGAAACAGGTTGTTAGTTATAACAGAGCATTTTCTTGTGAAATGGTTAGCTTGTAGAATGAAAGACAGTGCAATTGTTAGCGGCCCTCAGATACGGAACAATCATCACACCAAGCACCTCAAAAACTAAGTGTTATATTACTCAAACTCTTTATTTTGATGATTGAATAGCAATTCTTTTTATTTAAGCGAACAAAAAGTGTTAGGAGGGCTGCAAAGGGAAAATATGGGTGAAATTCTTGTGGCAGCAGCACCAATAAACCCTTTTTACATGTACATGTATTTTAATGTCACACAAATAACGTTTTCGCTAATAACGGTGTTTTTCAGGCACCTATTAAATGTTATTGGTGAGAGCCTACTGTATGTGTAGGATTAATTTTTTTTAATTAATTGTGTTGTGTTACATTGTATGATTGCATTTATTTAAAGTGTGCCTGTGTGCATGATTCTGGCAGTTTGTTTAGTTTCATGTGTTCATTTTGTAACTTTTTCTATTATATTTTTCATATACATGCAGCTGTTTATTAATGGAATTAATGAATAATTTTTTTTTCATGGAGTATGAATAAATAAATGTACTTAAGTTGTTATGATATTTTCAGATACCAAGCTATGTATCAGCTAATGCTTGTGCCCTGATCTCAGAATGCCTTCAGAAGAACCCAAAGGAAAGGATTAAGCTTGAATTAATCCCACACCATCCATTTATGGCAATAGGAAATAAAGCAGATATATCAAGGATGTCTGATAGTGGTCTGTATACAATGACTACTGTAACTACCCAACATACCAGAATTCCACTTACTGCCATATCTGAAAGTGAATTATCCTGCTCTGGAGGGAGTGGCAACCAAACACGACAGATGGTAAAGCCACATATTGAACCATGTCTTCGACATCCTCCATCTCCGCCTGTTAGGATGAAATCCAGGTGAGATCAAAGCGCAAAAACCGATACTGACTTGCATGACTTGTATTTATGTTGTTGATAAATATACTGTTCATTGCACCTTTTTCCATGATAATTAAATATTGTAATATATATCACAAATTGTTATTGAATTTATCATATCAATTTCTCTTTCAGTCCAAGAGATCTCCTTCCTCCAAATGCTGGGATCATTGATAATTTGAAAAGAAAATTTACACCATTACCATCGATGAAAGGTGGAGGGAATCTTGCCTTTTCTACACCATCACTACCTCCGTTAATAAAACGGGAGCGAGATGTATCAGAGGAACGGAGGAGGCAACAGCAGTTGAGTGATCAAAGATGTGGTTCCTCTAGTTCCTGTGATGAACAGTCTAGCTCCTCACAGTATGCTCCTTCACAAGTTAAGGAGGTATCACATCACATACCTAGGGAAAGGAAAGACAGGGTCAGAAGCAGTTCCAGGAGTAGTAGCAGTGAGCTTCATAGAGCAGAACATGATTGTGTGGGTGGAATTCATAATCCTTCCAAAAGAGAGAGATCTATAGATAGAAAAAATAGTTTCAGAGATAAATCTGATATTTCTCATGGACATAGCACTGACAGAAACAAAAACTCATCATATGACCAGTATTTGGGTCACCAAGGTCAGGTTTCAAGAGCTACACCAAGGAAAACAGAATGTGATTTCCGAAGTAGATCTTTGGAAAGGAAATTTTTTTCAGATAATCTTGAAAAGAAAGGTCTGGAAAATGAAAGACTTACTGGAAAGCAAATGAAATATGTAGAGAATTATCAAACGGGTAGTTCAAAATATGAACATATTTCCGGGTCTAGAGAGAGATGTGAAAGTGGTGAACATTTACATAGTAATACATCAAAAGATAGAACACGCCAACAGCATAGGAGTAGGTCACTGGAAAAACACAGAGATGATTCGAAAGAAAATTGTAGAAACAGGTTGAAAGAACCTGAAGAACACAGTTCAAGAAATAAAGCTAGAGAACATTACAGGGACAAAACTCACTCATGCTGTCAGAGCTCACATCACAAATCTTGGTGTGAGCGGAGACATAGGACTTTAGAGCAGGTAGATTCAGTTTTCACACGTGGTAGATATACAGAAAATGAAAGACAGAGTAATTCTAATCTGGATATTTGTTCTAGTCACAGTCGGAATTTGTGTAATAATGATTGTAAAGCAAGTGCTAAATCGTTCAGTAGAGGCCAGTCTGCCTGTGCTTCAAAAAATGAACAGAATAATATTTTAAATGACATTTCTAAAGTTGTACACATGTCACCAGTTGATTGTGTGAATGTAAATCAAAAACAGTTACAAGCTTCAGCAAATCCTCGTCAGCAACCGGTAACATCAAAAACACTGGGTGTAATGAGTAATCAAACTTTGAAACAACAAGTTTCACCACTTTCCTCGGTAAGATTAAAAAAAGTAAGATGTAAAAGTAACACATACTTCTTAAACATCCTGGACAATGGGGAAGTGTGCCTGGAACATCTATGCACCAAACGCAACCAAGAGATGGTGGATGTTGTATGCAGAATTTCTTCCGATGGATTAAGGGTATGACCATATTGAAACATGCAAGATCTGTACTGTATTAACTAATAGAATGATGAGATTACTATGTTCATCTTTGCTATTGGTTATTTTGTCAATTGTATCTATCAGCCATTTTGCATGCCCATAAATAAATTATAAGAAAGATTTCTTTACTTCCGTGATTAGTAATAATTTCATCATTGTGGCATATATTTTATCCATAGATTGTGATTATTTTGGTGATTATTTTGATAATTACTACTGTACTATTTTTTTATGGGTGACTGAGATGTAGGATACTCACTAGGCCATTTGTGTAAGGCCAGGAGACCAGACGCTCATGTTTTGGACAAATTAAATAATTAATAACCTTCCCCAGTTACCACTATATTCATAATAAGGGATATTTGAAAGCAAAGCCCTTTCTCTCACAGACAGTGAAGGAAGGCACTCAAATGGTCTTCCAGGCATCAATCCTAGATTTTATTAATAGAGTATCCAATTTTCCTTGTTAGTGTGTTTGGAAACGGGATCATCAGCTCAGACTTTTTCTTATCTGTATGAGACTTGTGGGTATTGAATTACCATTAGCCTCGAATCATTTAGGTGCTGACATGCTCTCAAAAGTTGTAACAGACACAAGGTACCAGTGACAAATGCTTATAGGATGAAGGGTCTTTCCCAGCGTTTGATTCTGGTTTGGGTCTGACTGACCCCTCACCAGTTCCTACTCCTTACTTCAGGTGGAAGTTTTTGTTTTGTCTCTATCCTATCACCTACTTGAGTTTTATGTGTCCCTGATTCAACCTTTTTACATGCTCTTGTAGATGGCAAGGATATCCCCAATACAACAAATAGTTCTGGTCTATCTTAGTCTTCATGGAAGGTTAACAGTCAGTGATGAATCAGAATACAGGTTGAACTTCCCATATCTGGCATTCTAACATATGGCAGCTCCCCCAAAACGGCACTGTTTTGGGAAATTTCTTTGCCTGACTTACCTCCTAAAGAACGGTGTGATCGGATAGTAATGTGAATGAAAATTCCACTACTCGGCAAACTTACCTTCGAGCGGCAGCTTCTTGTATACAGTCTTGCCGCTTTTGTTTTGGTGGTATGCCAATTGCCCTCGCCAGTCAGTTCATTTGTTTGAATTCACAGCTGAGGGTTGTGGTGTGCTTATTTAAGTGTCACAATTTTATTCTACCCTTAATAAACTGCACCATTATACTGTACATGTATACTGTACCAGTTTGTATTTTTCTACACCTAAAGCACTTCCAGGAAATTGTATAAAATACACAGGCCAACACCCTTTGAAAATGCTTTAATTGCTTTTGAAATGTGCTTGTGTAGCACTAAAGGGCAGTTCAGGCAGGTAATCGATGATGATTTTGAATAGGGGTTATTTGAATGTTAGGTTCCCCTTATGGTTTACTTAAAATGACTGCATGGAAGGAGGATTTTTTGTTGTCTCAGGTTCCTTCTCTGAGTCAGAAATTTGTGTCTGCTCGGAGGGATTTTTTTTTTCTTAGGTGTGATTGATTGTCTCAAAATTCCCATCTTTGATAGGTATGACTCTGGTCCTGGGTTTTTTGCAGGGAAAATATCCAGACTGATTGGATATTGGGAATTTTCAGCAAGATGGTTCTCCTCTCTGTAATATACTTTGTTTTGACTTGTCTATACTGTATAGTGTATATGTATATAAGCTTTTTTTGCCAAACAAGCCTTATTTGAATCATTGAGATTTATAGATTGTATGAAAGATCTTATGATGCAGTTAGAGGGTCTTTGTTCACTAGTGCTAAACAGCTGGAATGAATAAAGATTGATGCCTGTTTGACAAATACAGTGACATGTACAATAATGTCAGGTTTCCTGGGCTGAGACTAATGTTATACAAGGGTACCTGTACTGTATATTGAGAACATTTACCTCAAGTCATCAAATTTTAGGCTTGCAAGTAAAATGGGGTTTTACAATGAATTTGTATTGAATTTGTTTATTTCTATACTTTAATATTTAGTTTATTTATTTTTATTTTTTTTAGGGGGAGAAGTTACAGTATATTAATTGATATATTAATATTTCAGATAATTATTTACCAACCAAATGGTGGTTCAGGGTCACTACCTGGAGACGCTCCTCTACCACTGCCAGATGAAGGAACACCTTTAATATTTTCCTATGAAAATATTCCTCCAAAGTACTGGAATAAATATAAAACTGCAGCCAGGTAAGACTAACTGTTTTTAGTGCTACCATAATATTCAGATATGTACAATTTACTCAAATAATTTTCTTTGGTTTGCCAAAACCCTGCAATGTTTGTTTAAAATTCATAATGACATGGTGCACATCTCTGTTCAGGTATTTCCATGTTTCCTGGGTAATCTGTGGAAAGCTAATGCTCTAATGTGCTTCTACCCTTCCGAAAACCACACTGGTATTCACCAAAAATCTCTTCAGCCATGGCTAACTTTCACCAATGCAAAATTTTTCCAAATATATGTATCCTCGATAATCATGGGACCCGATAATCACTGATCTGGCTTATCACGGTAAGCCAGCGGAAGCAGTGACTGCCAAGAGCTTACTGTGATATATATATATATATATATATATATATATATATAAATATAGTAAGTTAGTTAGTTTCTCACTCTTGATCTATTTTATTTTTTCCATTTTGATATTTATATATACTGTATATACAATATGTTGTATTCACAAAGTAGGGGAAACAATTGAAACCCTGCAATTGTGTGTAAATGAGGTAAGAAAGTGAGTCATCAGTAATCTGAGACTTGGTCAAAAATTTTGTGATGCCATGTGGCAGCTAGGTCTACCGTTAGACAACACAATATGTTTTCAGTATCTTTCCATGCAGTAGTACCTCCCTGTTTGATAACTGCCTACTACCTATTATCTGGTATCCCATGATCATTACCACTCTCTGTTTTCCAATATTTTTGTGTATTAAAAACATTTAATTTGGTATTTATCATCATACCAAATCAGATGCCACTTTCAAATAAGTTTTATCTTTTTTGCCTTGCTTCAAGTACACTGCAGATGAATTTTGCTCTGTCCTATGAGCCGTAGTTTACAGAGTAGATCCTTAATTAATGTTTCTATAACTGATTTTGGTAACACAGATTTCTCTTTTACAGGTTTGTGAACTTAGTGAAATCTAAAACTATGAAGATTACACATTACACGAATCAAGCCAAGTTTTTACTGATGGAAAATTCTCCTGACCCTGATTTTGTAGCTATGTTTTACCATGGTAAATAATGACACGGTTTTGTAGTTTATCCCCAATTTGTAATGATTCTGTCATATTATTAAATACACTGAATATGCTTACATTTACACTGGTAAAAAAAATGGTTTAATAGCAAAAAAACAAAAACATTTTTAATGCTATTATGTTGGTTTTAATAAGTTTTAAGCATTTGTATATATATATATATATATATATATATATATATATATATATATATATATATATATATATATATATATATATATATATATATATATATATATATATATATATATATATATATATATATATAGATGGTTTCATTGCAGTTCCTCATATGCCAAGATTAGCATTGACATTATTCTGGTGAGTGTGCCTTTTAAGTAAGAAAAATTCTGTAACTGTAGGAAAAATCAACATGTTCACAGACCGCTTCACTCAACTGTTAAATGCCAAGAAACATTAAAATATTGCTTTAAAAAATATTATGGTGGATTTGTATCATAAATGGGAAAAAAACTGAAAATATTGTAAGGTGGACGTGATGATAAACTGATTCACTGCCCGTGCTAATACAATACTGTATTAACAATACTTGTTGGTTAGGTAGAATATAAATTTTGATGGGTTGGTCCAGAGAAAAATTCTTAAATCATAATACTGCCCATGACTGAGGAAAGGTTGCTCACGCCTAGTTTAAACCATTTGTTCAAATTGGCCAGCCCTGTCCAACCATGCTGATTAAGGATCTGGGTTCACAATTTAAAAATTCAATTAATTAGTGTTAACTTATGACCTCTAAAATAATTAAAGATATCCATATTTCGAATGTTTAAAAAGTCAATTATGCAATGCTGGGCAGGGTTTGCTGATTTGAACATCCATATTTACTTGTATAAATGTGTACTGTACTTGCATTTGTTCCTATTCAGTGCTCGCCTCAACTGAAGTACAGTGACCCCTCGTTTAACGAACACCTCGGTTAACGTAATTTCGATTAACGAACTGCCTTCCATAAGGATCTTCAATTCGGTTAACGAAAAAAAATTCGCTTAACGAACTTCTTACGAACTGACCTCAACATGTTTTCGCTTGCACTGACCGGGCAACCAGGTTTAGTATCAGCCCGCCAATACATTAATCGGTTCTAGGGCTTAAATTCCTTACTATTTTTGTAAATATCAAGAAGTTTATACTATTCAATAATTTTAAAAGTTTAATATTCATTTTTTTAGTCATTTTAACAATTATTGAACAAAATTGAAGGTAAAGTGACTAGTTTAATGCGCGGCATCCTGCCTCTTAACACAGCAAACAGGCGTCAGTCTCTCTCTGTTTTCACTGGAGGTAACATCTTGCTTGAGACTCTCTTCAACTAAACGCTTTTTTTCTGTGTTTCCAAGCAAATTATTGGTCATTTTGAAATATATTTTATATATTGACAATATATAATGCAGTGCAGCGTTGATTTAAAGAAAATAATCTTGAATTAAACCAGAGAGCTAAAATTTTATGGGTGAAATGGCGCCATGGGGTGACTTCTCCTCCACCCCCATTCTAAATCCCATCATCATCATCATCATCCAGGAGCCTTCTACATACACACCTCAAAGTAAGTGAACTTTTCTACCATTTTTGTTGAATTTAGGAAATTTTCGGTGAGCTGGAACCAATTACCCAAAAACCCATTGAAACAATGGTTTCGGTTAACGAACGTTTCGGTTAACGAACGACCTTCTGGAACGGATTGAGTTCGTTAACCGAGGGGCCACTGTACAGTACCGTATATTGTATGCATATTGAGAGTAATTATGTTACAGTATATCATTATTCAAAATAAATTAGCACATACTAGGGTAATATAAGGAACTTGTCAGTGTCTGCTTTACAAAATGACAGCATTTAGTCTTGCTGAAAAATTACGAGAGTGCATTACATGGACATTCCAAGTACCTTCCTTGGAATTAAGGAAATCTAAATTAAAAGATTTTATACAGTACAGTATTAGCCTGTTAGGTCATATCATTTTGTATTTATTTAACAGGAACCAAAGTGACAAAAACTGGAAACACTGTGGTGCTCAGAGAGTCAACTGGTGCATCACACACAGTACCTCAGTCTACTGGTTGTGCAGTGCTGCCAGATTCTCTTCAACCATTCTATCGACATTTTAAACAAGTAAAATACAAATATGTTCTTATTAAGGGACACATGTTTTTTGCAGAAATGTTCAGTTATTGTTGGAAAAAATTTTAAAAGAGCTAGTTTGTAAAGAAATAAATGGTTAAAAGTTAGAAAATATGTGAAAAATAATCATTCTATTTTATTTTATAATAAATACCAAGCATGCTGCTCTGCCGTAATTAAATTCTTCATGAATCTTGCGGTTTCCAAGGAGCCAGCAACTTCCATCAGTTGCTGTTAGAGATCACTTGTAGAGGTTATATTTAAGAGTTATCTGCATTGTGGAGGGGTAGGCAGTTTGGGTTGAGAGAATTTTGGGCGAGTTGAATTTTGTGTATAGCCAGTGTCTTATTTACCCCTGTAGGGCCCAGGGGCTAAATCTTGTTTGGGTGCCCTTTGCCTCTCAATACAGTAGTCCCTTGCCAACCGCAGGGATTAGGTTTCTGGAAAATCCTGTTGTTGGTAAAACTAAAGGCTTATGGGAAATGGGGTTAGGTTCCATGACAGTAAGGGCATTTTTCTGACAAGGATATTTAAGATACTTTATTATTTCAAGAATTAATGTGGATAAGCAATAAATGTTTATAGACATTTTTGTTTTCAGATACATGACCATTGCCTGTACCTGGAGCGTGTTCTTTCTGAAGTAACAGCAAAGACGGGCATCGATTGCTTCCCTGTAATTTTGGGTAGCAAACCAGCATCCATCCCAGCATCACCGCCAGAGTCTGCTCGCAGCAAACCTCATTTCACATCTCAGAAAGAAAATATTTCCCCTAAATCCATACATTCCTATAGAGCTAAAAATAGTACATCACAGGTAAGTAGAACAATTCAGTTAGTGTAATAGATTACTATTGGTCCAAGGAGACTTAAAGTCTTGACACTGATGGTTATTATCATTAAAGAATAAGTAGCTATATATCTTCTATCTTAATCATTGTCTCAAAAAAATAAGAGAGAGTAGTGACAGTTACCCTTTAGGGATGATCTTCAGGCTACAGTAACTGCTTAAAATGTATGCTAAGATAATGTTTAGGTACCGTATATACTCGTCTATAACCCCCCCTCGTTTATAGGTCGACCCTGATTTTTTGACCAAGAAATCGTTAATTTATGATATTCCTCGTTTATAGGTCGACCCACGTTTTTGAGGGTAATGGAACAACAAAACCTTCAGTAAAAACGCTCTACGTCCTATAAACTGAAGCTCCCCGTGCCCGAAACACCGAGTACCTAAGGCAAATTGTTTACCATTTATTATTAAAACACGACACTTTACACCACTTTACACTGAAACGCGGGTAGTTTCAACAAAAATATTGTATATTTCCTTTCAAATATTTATTCAAGTCAATTAGGAGGGAATATTATTGTAATACAACAGTTTTTTAACTAAACCATTCAAAAAGCGATTACGGTAACATCTTTTGAACGAAAGAAAGCGAAAGTCATTGTTTTCGTCACGATTTTATCCCACTTTCCACTGTAATACGTACGTAATTTCAGCAAAAATATTACATTTCCGTGAATGCATTATATCAAGCACAGTATGAATAGAATATCATTGTAATATAACAGAATTTTAACCGAAAACTATTAAAAAAACCAATAACATCTCAAGAACATCGGAAGCTTAGGTAAAGTCTTTTGTTTTCGTCATGTATTTTATCCTATTTTACATTGAAATACATCACGTTTCAGCAAAACTACTATTTATTTCTGAGAATATATTCATTCAGGCGCAGGTTAGGTAAAATATACGTGTGATGTAATAGTTTTTTAACTGAAAACGATTAGAAAAACACGTAGCCTCTAGCCCTGATCAAGGAGAGGACTGGGAGAAGCTGTTTGGTGCTGCAGACGATGACAAGGAAAATGATTTTGATGGATTTTAATGAAAATATTCCGAAATATGGTATCGTAGTATTTATTCAAGTCAATTAGGATAGAATATTATTGTAATACAACAGTTTTTTAACTGAAAACCAATCGAAAAGCGATTACGGTAACATCTTTTGAACGAACGAAAGCAAAAGTCATTGTTTTCGTCACGATTTTATCCCACTTTCCACTGTAATATGTACGTCATTTCAGCAAAAATATTACATTTCCGTGAATGCATTATATCAAGCACAGTATGAATAGAATACCATTGTAATATAACAATATTTTAACCAAAAACTATAAAAAAAACGAGTAACTTCTCTTGAACATCGGAAGGTTAGGTAAAATCTTATGCTTTCTTCATGTATTTTATCCTATTTTACATTAAAATACATCACGTTTCAGCAAAACTACTATTTATTTTCGAGTATATATTCATTCAGGCACAGTTAAGGTAAAATATACATGTGATGTAACAGTTTTTTAACTGAAAACGATTCGAAAAACACGTGTACCGTCTAGCTGATACACTCAACAGCTGGTGGTGCGTGATGCGTCGTTGTAAACAATATGAGGTTGAAGTAGATTACCGGGTATTATATCAAGTGTGAAAAATAGAAAAGGTTTTTATTACCGGTATTTTTTGTAGATCAATGAGAACTGTGATACCGTATATGATAAGATAAGTTAGCCTGTGCTAAGAACTTCAACATAGACTACTGAAAGCGCGTTGTAAGGTAATTTAGCCTATTGTAAGTTGGTGAGCTTCATTTGCTGAAGGAACTGCACAACTTTTCATTACTAATTGGTACATATTTTACCTTACCATTGTTTACTGGCAGTAAATGGTAAATATTTTTCATGTCTGAAGCTAAAAGTTGCTCCTCGCCCTTCCCATCATGCACGGGTTCAACCTAACAAAACTATTTCGCTTGTATAGGACGACCCCCAATTTTTTGCCTAAAAATTTGGTCCTAAAAACTCGAACTATACACGAGTGTATACGGTATGTTTACTGGAACATGCCCATATATGTGAACACTCATTTCTTTCCTTTTATTTAGCATAAACATTATGCAGTCTTACACAGGTACTGAGGCAAATAATATGGTAGGGTTAAGATTACCTTATGGTAGGACGACTTCATACTTTAAAATTGCCTTTCTTCCACTCAGCTTGGTTCATATGAAGGTTCAACTGGAAGTGTTCAAATAATGGAAAATCCTACTCGCCATGTCAGGACACCTCTTACCCCCCACACCTTCAGCAATATTCAAGTGAGACCAGAGTCAATTATCAAGCATCCTCTGCCTCGTGTTTATGTGCAAAATATTGGCTGGGCATCACAGGTATGACTGGATTTGCATCTCCATATCTCTCTCTCTCTCTCTCCATTTGATGTTATTTATTGATTATGTATTTATAGATTATAAATTACATTAAGGAGGAGTGCTGTAGCAAGTTTTCTAACTGACAAATACTAGTAGGTCCATTTAAAAACATTATCTTTCAAAACCTAACTGCCATTTAAAGTGAGATGAATGTGTATTTATATTAGTTTTCATCTAAATATATAAGAGATCTAATGGTGTTGAGAGGCATTGTTGCCAGTGATGAGCAGCTGCCATCACTTGGTACATGTTAGTCTGCCTAATGTTTGTGGTGACATTCAAGAAGTTCCATAAGCTGGCTACCCTGACAGTGAAGGTCTTATGATGCTGGCTGTTACATAACTTAAGTACCTCCACCAACAGCACCATTCTCATGTTCTTTTGTAATGTGCATGTCGGGAGATTTAGGTTGGCCAGGTGAAACAGCTGCTAGATCCAGGCTTTGCGGAAGACAGCCAAGGCCACCGTATTTGTGTGGTGATGCAGTCCAACTGCTCAAAATTTAAAAAATTCCAATTCCTGTTGCAAAATGAGGACAGTTGCCAGACGACTGTAGTTGTCATACGGCACATACCTTTTATGGGGTTTTGCTAAAAGAGCACTATTATACTTCAAAATATATGAATACTCTGGAAAACACTGATCAATTGCAATTGATCATCTGACATTTCTAAATCGCTCTCATCAGCCTGGCAGCCTTTATTATGGTACAAAAATTTTTAAATGTCTCAGGACTCAGCATGTGGGTCTCAACCACTGTCGCCTCGGCTCTTACTGGGCCCTCTGCTAGGTCGGTACAACGAATGAGTTAATTATACTTGTGCTTGTCTTGAACTCATCACAATATGTGTGTAGTGAGCAGTGACATTCAATCCTAACCAGCAGTTTCAACATATCAGCAATTGACAAGCTCTTGGTTTTGATAAAGTTTACTTAACAGCTACTGTACATAAGTAGTGCTAGGTCCTTTGTTGGATGAGATTATGATATGTTTAAGGCTTCCAAAATACAGTAAATGGAATATCCATGCTAACTGATAGTTGCTGCCTCCACTATGCACCATGTGTAAAGGTCAAATAAGGTTTGAGGTAATTAGATTTTTGTTTAATTTGGAAATTTTAGATATTCGTAATTTGTTTTCTGTATACTGTATTAAGTAATTTAAGATAAAGTGTATATTAATAAAAATGATGATGGTGTTCACACTTTCACAGGGAAGCAATGGAGAGGTTTCTGTTGAGTATCTGGATGGAGCACGAGTTCAAGTAAGCAGTAACTCCCCTAAAGTGATATTCACTGAAGCATCTGGTGTGACTACGTCCTATTCTGCCAATGACAAACTGCCTCTTGTGTTACAAAATAAGTTATCACAAATGCAGACTGTGTTAAGCTCATTGTCTCAGTCTCCATCACCAAATATAACCCCCATGTCTTCAAACACAGTTGGTCTCCACTAATATTAACTCCACCTGTTACTGTTGTAATTGGATGCAATATAAAAAAGCAAAATTTTTAAGAAGAGAATTTAATAGGCAAATGAAGTTTTTTTTTTTATGAATTTGCCCATGACTTCAAGTATATTTTACTTGAATACCAAAGAATCTTACTGGAAATCTATCTTGCCAGACCTTAAAATATTGCTCAAATTGTAAGTGCATGCTCTTAAGTGTGCAGAATCTTTTTGGGGGGATTTGCTTTTGTTTTTAACTCTAAGATATTTGGGATCTAACAATAAAAGAACTTCTGATAATGATATCATTTCTGTACTCTTATAATAGAAAACTATTGATCATTTGCAGTTAATTATTTATAAAATCTTTAAAAGAGGTAGTTGAACTTACAGAAATTGAACAATGTGTGTAGTGGCAGAGCATCTGATTAGGTAAGTTATTGCAGGCAAAATATATATAATCAATAAAAAAAATTGTCTTCCAGATAATGAAATTTTGTCTTCCAAACTAAAATCATATAAAAACTTAAATCTAGAAAATAAAGGCTGTCTTCCATGTACAACCACTGTCTTCCTTACAATATAAGGAGGAAATACATTTGTATTGTGTAGTGTACAGTCTACATTTACAAAGAAATCCTCTTTGAATACTTGGGGGGGTTGTTTTCTGGTGATTCACTTATATTCATTTAGTAATAGTTAATAATTTTGATTTTAAAAGTTTGGTAGAGACAAAACAGCTGAAAATAATATGGTATTTACTGCATACTTGTATATCAATTGGTTTATATTAATCTATACCTATGTACAGTAATAGAAAGTATATGTTGTTAAATATTTCTCTATAACAAAGATAAAACTAAAGTCAGCTGTATACAGTATATGTAAAGTACCTGTAATTCATGGTAGGTTTTAAAATTTTTACTGTTAGTGATTAGGATTATTAATTCAAATTATGTGTTCCCTGGGAGTCTTCCATCTTTTTATGTGGAATTAAATAGTTTATGGCATTAACTATTTATTAGTGCCAGTGACTGATCATCTCTAGTAGTCCCAGAATCTCTTGTAGAAAACTTTTTGTCCAGGTTTACTAAATCAGATTGTGGTACAGTACTGTATTATCACTGAATCTAATAAAATGTGTATACTAATACTTTACTCTTCATTATTCAAATTATAAGATCCTGTCTTTACCCTTGTAGAAGTTAAGCAGCAATAACTGTAAAAGTTTTGTAATTTTGAAGAAAAAAAATCTAATTTGTGGAGAATTGATTGATTGATTGGGTAAAATAATTTGTGTAGAAGGAAGCTGAAAGTGAATAGTAAGTAGAGCAGGTTTGTAGGGTTTGAAAAATGGGTGTTATGTGCAAGGTGTGACAGGATGGTGAGAAGTAACAAAGAACAAAAGATGCGAGATACCAGTATACTTAGAAAACACCTCGGGTAAAGATGAAGGAATCAACACTGTAACAGTGGATCTCTCCCATTGGGCGACAGAAACTCGGATGTACAACACCCAACTTTATTCTTGTGGTAATGGCGTATACACCTGTGACAAGTAAAGAAAACACATAGTCCCCAAATGTGTCCACATTATTTGTTATGCAGTATGTATAGAGAAATAACAGGCATGTCCTAGCAGAGATAGAATTAGTTACAGATATTGATATTCATGAAGAAGGAACATCTGGTCAACGAATAACGACTCAACAAAGCAGCACATGCCTACAGGAATGAGATGTAGTTCTGACATGTGTATCAAGACAGTGCCTCAGTGGCAATATACCTGTACTCACAAACAAAAAACTAGACAAGGTGATCAAGTGTCTAGAGCCAGTGAAACAATGTCACTATAGTCATCTATGATCACTTATGCCCCAATGTAGGTCCCTATATGTACACTGATACCTAGCCTATGACTCCTACCTTGGTTCGGGAGCACAGCTGTGCCCAAGGGGAGTAGGAGTTGATTCGGAATTTTTCTCATTATTTAATATGCACTACCCCTGGCTCTAATGTGCTCTAAAGGTGAGCCACGGCCATTAGAATATGTGAGGAGTTGGCTGAGGTGACGTTATTAGTTGTTGCGCCTCAGTCCTTGCAGCAAACCCATGCCAAATGAACACATCCAGTCAGCTGCCAAGGTGGTGAGCATGACTCCAAGCTGCTTTAGGCCTAGTGGCACACGACCACCTCCCTCCCTGGGACAATGGCGCGTCGCGAGGTGTAAATGGACCTTACTGGTAGCGCATACAATGGTATGCCAAAATATTAAGCCACATGTCTTAGTAATTTTTCGACCGAAATATACCTTACTCTCGGAATTTAAATTTAAGGAGTCTAACTAATTAAGTACTTCAAGTATAACACATAAACACCAAAATCGAACCTTTGAAACCCATAGTTGGAGAATAATTAGTTTTAAAATAATATATATATATATATATATATATATATATATATATATATATATATATATATATATATATATATATATATATATATATATATATATATATATATATATATATATATATATATATATATATATATATATATATATATATATATATATATATATATATATATATATATATATATATATATATATATATATATATATATATATATATATATATATATATATATATATATATATATATATACATTTACATATATATATATATATATATATATATATATATATATATATATATATATATATATATATATATATATATATATATATATATATATATATATATATATATATATATATATATATATATATATATATATATATATATATATATATATATATATATTATATATATATATATATATATATATATATATATATATATATAATCAACACCTCAACCGCCAGGATTCGAACCCGGCACACAAGCCTATGACTGTGACCGGGGAACAATCGATCGCATATACGTCCGTGGCCCCCAACCCCCACCAAAAAAAAAAAAAATATGTGGCCTGCTGGACCACCACTCCTAGCCCCTGGCGGAGACACGATGATTCTCCCCATACTTCAGATATTATGTGTTAAAGGAATATGCTTCCTTACTTAGGCTTTTCTAAGCATTTGCCTACAGGTGAAATGTTAACCTACATCTATTGGATAAAATCTTTCACCTACAAATTGACAATAACACATGTGCTGTAATCAGACATATCTAGTTGCCTCAACAATTGCAAGTTGCAATTTCAAAATCTGTGGCATTACTAAAAATAGTAAAGTTTCTGGTGCACTCTAAGATTGAGAGAGAAAATGGAAGACACAGGCATCCTGATGTGAGAGAAAACGGACTCGTATGACGGGGGACCAAATAAAAAGAGCATAGCTACATGTTTTGTGGACTACAGTATTAAGCGTACCCTTTTCATCACTTTGCAATAAACCTAGCCATGCCTATGTGTGTTTATGATATTTACCATAACATTATATATATATATATATATATATATATATATATATATATATATATATATATATATTTTTTTTTTTTTTTTTTTTTTTTTTTTTTTTTTTTATATATATTATATATATATATATATATATATATATATATATATATATATATTTAATTTAGTGGTATAAATGGTCGTAAAATGGAAACTTGGGGTTGGGTCTTGGGTGCCTGGAACCAATTAGAATAAATCCCATAGGTTCTGTACTTTCGGGTGTGGGGGTCCCAATTAGGCGCGATAACCAAGGATGACTGTATATACTTGTGACACTGGTCAGTTGCTTCTGGTGTCACTCTTAAGTAATGATAAATAAACACGCAGGCAGGCCTTCAGCGCCAACTGTCAAATCTTATCTCAAATAAATAAACAAACAAACGCCAGACATTCTGTCACCTCGCCTCCCGCCCTACCCCTCTCCCCACCACCCTCGTGTTCAAGATAAAAGATTGGTGATTTCTTTGTTTATTTTATATAATATCTCAGACTAAAGTTACGATAATATATATATATTGCATTGCTGAAATCCTTCAAGACAGAGATTAATTTGAATATAAGCATCATATATTTTTCTAAGATATAAAAATGTACAATGTACATTTTATAAAAGATTTTCAACTGTATTTTTGGGTAGATTTACACAAATTTCTTCATTTATTTTCACCCATTTACATTCACACACCATACTAAAAAATGTAAAATAAATTCGTGCAAAGCTGGACTGCACATGTACTAATTTGATTACAGTACTAAAATTGTTATGTCTAGTCATAATTACAACATGTTTATATTCAAATAAATCAGTATCTTACAAGAATCCCAGCTATGTTAATTATATTCTCCTAGGTCATATCACTGGCATTTTAAAATGAGAGAAGCATAGTAGGACTGTGGTGGACGTCTCCCCTACAACTGCGTAGCCACAGCCACCACCTGCTACCGCCTTCCCTAGCAACCAACCAGATGTTACCGTATCTTAGCAACGGAACCAGGAACCGGCGACTTTCTCGGGTTTTCCCAACATGACTCATAGCGGCTGCTGGGTATATAAGCTCTGTCTCTCCATTGAGATTCATTCTGACCATCTTCTTGAACAAGCAACACCTCCTCCTCCGCCTGGCAGCCTCCTCTCCTCCGCCTGCCTGGTGGTCCTCGCTCCGCCAAGCGAGCATGGCGACCACCAGCTGTCCTCTGAGCTTCCTCACCAACAAGCTTTCTCATTCTGGTCTCTCTTCGAACAAGCAACATCTCCAGCAAGCTCCATGCTGTCAGCATTCATTCAACCAGGAGGCCAGCAACAGGCAACATCTTCTAACGAAGCTCTGCACATCTACCTCCTTCAACACGCGCTACTCACCGAACGTCTTTACTGAGCAGCTCCTCACCACTGGCACCTCCAGCACCAGACTGTCTATCATATAACTTATATTATAAAAAACCACCTTAGGTTTCCATCCATCCTGAGTGCTAGACAACATTATACCACAATTCCTACAGGACAGTTAAATAAACACACAGAGACCTTTGCCTCAAACTTATCACCTCAACCCCCCACCCCTCGCTGGGTGGCAGAGCCGTCAGTCCCCCCAGCCAGGCTTTTTGGCTTACAGTTTTTATCTTATATAATATCTCAGACTAAAGTTAGGAGATTATAATTTGCATTGCTGGAATCCTTGAAGACAGCCAATAATTGAATATAAACGTCATATATTTTGCTCAAGAGATAATAATTGTTGTACATTAGTGTACAGTATAGTACAGTCAACCCTAGGTGCCACTTTCACGGTTTCCGTTGCGTACCCTGCAACACAGTTCTCACTTTCATGAGCCCATGTGGAGCGGTACCCTTATGGAGAGCGGTTGGCAGTCCTCTGCCGCCATTTTGAATTCAAACCCCGCCATCCGCCATGTTGTGTAAGCGCGCGAGAGTTATGAAAGGGCGTCTTTGTTGCATTAATGGCAATGTCATATGACGAGCGGACTGTCATTACAGATTCCACCTCCCTCCCGCTGTGATTATTTAATGTAGTAATTATGATATTCCCCACAAGGAGCCGTTTCAAGCTTCCCTTGACCTCCGCTGTGGTTTTGCTACACCCTCCTGCCATGAATGTAAGTACTGCATCCATTGTTCAAGAATGATTTCACCCACTACCCACCACCACCACCACCACAAAGAAACCTTATTACCGGGACCCAGCCCAATTCCTAAGTTAAAGAAGACAATGACGTTCCTGTTACGGAAATAAAATATATAAGACTCATACAAGAGTTGAGAAAGGAACAAGGCAGGTGATCTCGCCATACCAGCATGGTGTTAATCTAATCAACCATCAGGATAATATATGATGCAGCCAAGATGAAGGAGCACATGAACACTGGGCTAAAGTCTACAGGTGCTTCTATGATCAGTATTTTACCAACCAGGTGCTTTCAAGACGGAAAATGCCATTTATAGAGCTAATGGTGCTTCACGCGCTGACGAACATGGCGGTGGACATGAGCTCAGCAGGAGGTGCGCACGACGCGAACTGTATGCTGCAGTGTCACGTAAAGATGGGAATTACAGAGCCCAAACCCTTTAATGCTTCTCTGGGTGGTTAAGCAGAGGCTTAAGAAGAGGAATGCCCAAGATCACCTACATCAACATTAAAAGTGAAGAAGCTGGTG